AAAGAACATAATTCCCTTCCACATCCGTGTGACTTGACTTGGTTTGCACCCCCCTAGCCCCTCTGCTTCATCTCCTGTTGGGCTCTGTTGGCCTGGTCTCTCCTCAGAGAAGCCTTCTCCACCCTCCCTGACAAGCGGTGGCCGATTCCCCTGCCAGAGCCTCTGGTGGGCCCCTCCCTTCACTTCCACAGCACAGGTCAAGGTTGCGGTTTCCCGTCGCTTGTGAGAGGATGTGATTAATGACCAGCAACTCTGTGAGAGTGGAGGTTATGTCTGCTTTTGTTTGCCTTTGTTTCTCCACAGTCTAGCTGGGTGCCTGGCACATAGTAGGTGATTGATTAAATAATTGCGGACAGCTGCCCAGGGAAAGAGAGAAGACAGACCTCAGCTTAATTAGTAGGGAATCTGGGGCTGATGGACAGGACTGAGGAAACTTTGAAGCTGTGGGATGGGTGGCTTCATGCAGAGAGGAAAGAATTGTGAGAAGAGACATCCTCCCAGAACTAGAACCCCCAAGGCCATGCCAGGTCCCTCTGACCAGCCCAGTCTGTAACTCAGGAACCAGGCATGACCTGGGAGGGCTGGAGAGACATTTGGGTCCACTGGCTCCCTTTTAGGGGTACTGGGCTGAGCAGAGTGGAAACTAACCTTCCTGGTGGGCCAGCAACAGCCCCTCCCTCTCAGTGGCTGCTCCCCCTCCCTGTCCTGCAAGCCCCCCACCCCCCCACCCTGCCTCCTCCCCACCTTTCTCCCTTTGACTGATGGGGTGATTGGAAGGTTGGGGGCATGGATAGGGTTGAGACATGTGGAAGATGAGAGGCAGGTGGGCTCTGTGGGGAACGGGGCCTAGGGTGGGGGGGTTCCCTTGGACAAAGGCCCAGAGGAAGTCTCAGAGGAAACTTGGCCTGTAAGGCAGGAATAAGACTGGTTAAAGCTGGGAACCTACACTCCCTGGAAGGCACATCCTCAGGACTTCAGGTGGGCTGGGGAAAGCTGGGGAAGAGGATCTGGGATACAGCAGGGAGAGGAAAGTCCTTCTCTCTTTCCCTCCTTTCTCTAGAGACTTGGTCTTCCTTCTCCCTGTTCTCCTGGGACCCAGACACCCAGGGCCTTCAGGAATTCTCAAGTTCTGTCACCACCCTAAAGGAATGAGAGTTAGGTCCCTTTGCTGGGGAAGAAAGGCGGGAGGGAAGTGGGGAGAGAGGGAGGGAGGGAAGTGATTGGGAGGGGAAGGGTCACAGGCCCAAATTCCTGGGCTCCTGCAGCTTCAATCATTCTGAGAAACAAAGAAACAGCGAAAGTGATTTAGAGACAGACACAAATAGAGACCAAATTATGGAGATGGGAGAGACGTGAAAAGACACACAGAGAGGCTGCTCAAGAGAGAATCTGACAGTGAGGGCT